GGGGCTCGTTGGTATTTTATTTATGTTTCATATTTGACTTCAACCCCGTTTACTCTAATTTCTATCGTTGATTATGATGATTGTTACGATGATTATCACTTATTTGCTCTGTAAGGAGAGACGTACTACATTACTAGTACGGTTGAGCTAGGTGAGGTTATTCCATCTATGTAGTAACATTTTTCTTCTTTTAACTAGGTCTGTTGCGTCCACGACAGTCACTGCTGCGAATGATAGAATTCTACTCCCTGTATGTCTTCAGCTAATCAATCAATCCATCTAGGTTTGGTAACGTCGGGGGAATGAAATTATGTATTCCTTTAGGATTATTCTTCCTCCATACATCCCTCCCATCCATATACACTTTTACAAGGACACCGCAGATCTCGCATCCCTCTGGCGGCAACATTTAGTTGAATTCTCCTTACATATAAGCACAGCACATTTCCAGACCTTCGTTTTGGTGGTGGTGGTGGAGGAGGAGGAGGAGACAGAAATCCTTGATCCACTGAACTGGATTTTCATCAAGGAGAGGATGAGAGAGAATGAAACGGGTAGAACCAGATATGACCCACAATTATCCGATAAATAGCAAAAAGAAAAAGAAAAAGAAAACGAAAAAGAAAAAGAAAAAAGAAGGAGAACTGCAAATAATGCAGTTACTAACTAATAGTAGTAATAAAAAATACAAAAAATTAGACCCCAGTCCCCGGCTCAGTACTAGGGCTATGAACAAGACCGGGCATTCTGACGACAATAGTTCGGGACAAACCTCAACGCAGCGCACTGAACCCATGATGGCATCGACGAGTGGGGCCGGTGGTCCGACGAGTTCCAGGGGGCCCATGGCGGAATGAAGAGAAGTAGAAAGAAAGAAAGAAAGGAGAGAGAGAGAGAAAAAACATATCGAGCTTGGCAGAGAGGAATTCAGGGGAGGGGGGGTTTCGGATATATGGATAGAAACCTGGTTTCACTTGATTATGTTTGGTTTTGTTGTTGGGCATTCCATGACATGGGGTGATATGGCATGCTTCAGCAAGAATCTGCAGTGATGGCTGAAATCTTCAGACAGATATCTGGAATTCGACATTGTTGGGGGAGCTGTTTGTAAATATGATAACTAACTAACTAGCAGTTGGTAACTAACAAGGTACTCCGAAGTTAACTACTAGTTAGTTAATTACGGATGGAAGGAGAACCGACACTCCACAGCAAGCAGCAGAAGAGAAGCAACAGCAACGAGAACAACAAGGGGCAAACTGGAGGAAAGGAAGATATTATCCCGATGCGCCAGCCAGCCAGCAGGATGTTGAGACTGGGCGTATCTATTGTTGGGATGGGTGGATATTTAACTAAATGCCATGTATGACGTGTGGTAGTTAACCCAAGCGACGAAAATAAAGGAGACTAAACAGAGAATAATTGAACATGTGTTAGAATTCATCAGGTATTCTTTACTAGTATTATATACGTCCCCCAGCTTACCCCGCATTCCGTGCCGCCTGTGGCTGCGGGCTGGTGTGCGAGGGAAAGTAGCCCGGATGTACTGCGGATGTACTGCGGATGTACTGCGGATGTACTGCAGAAGTGCAGATGTAGCCAGTCTATCTACGGACAGCTCATTACTGCTTTGGACAATGGCAAACAATATATTAACTTTGAACTAAGGAGGGCTCTGTTGAGGACCGGGTTGCTGACTGCTGCTGCTACTGGGTGCTGCTGCTACTAAATACTAAATACTACTCACCATGGATGATAGCATCTCTGTGTGTTTATAATACAGATTCACTCAACATGATCTGCCAGTATACAAGCATGGTACCTGATCGCTACCGGATCGCTACCGGGGCCGTGTCTCGGCGGTGGTAGATGATGTTAATCGATCGTAGCTGTTCCTGTTCCTATTCCTATTCCTCATCCTCTCTCCCTCTGACCTCCCCTCCCCTCACTCACCTCACCCACCTCACTCGATCTCTTCTGCTCTCTATATCCTGTTGTCACTGATGTGATACCACCCTCTCATCCTCCACTTCTCCTTCTCGTCCGCTTCCCGGTTGTGCTGGTGGCGTCGCCTGCCGGGAGGTTCGATCCCTCTCTCCTCTCTGCAACGAGGAGAACCTTCAAAGCTGTCGTGAGTTGCCTATCTGTCTATCCCCACAACCACCACACCAAGCTCTGCCTGTCCCGTCTGCTCGCTCCAGCTGTCTGTCGTGCTCTCGCCCCAGCGCTGCGTTCGTGTGGCGTGGGAACCAGCCCTTTCCATACCTGCTTTGCTATACCTACCCTGACTGTGGCGAGGCGTCGGGCCAACACGTCTCAACCAAACACAGTCAGTCCTACTTAACGCTGACTGTTGCTACTCCATAATGTGAAGACTAGATAAGGGATGCACCAGCGCTTGCGCTCTCTCCGCCTCCCTCTGTCTCTCTCTCTCTCCCTCTCTCTCTCTCCCTCTCTCTATATATATATATCTATACATAACGCTCTGCTTCGTTCTCTGCTTTTCTGCTTCTCCGCTTCTCCGCTTCTCCAACCTATCTATTCCCTACTCTGCGCCAACCATGGTCGATTCCTCTCCGAAGCCGGCTCATGATGCCTCCAAATCGCCAGTTGAATCCCCCTCCGAACAGTCTTCCCCCTTCTTCCATAACACATATATGCGTCCCGCGTTACCTTTCATCAATGGCGGTTTGTCCGGCATGACAGCAACAGCCGTCATCCAACCCATTGACATGGTCAAAGTACGCCTGCAACTCGCCGGTGAGGGTGCCCGGCAAGGACCCCGTCCGACTGCTCTAGGTATTGCAAAGCAGATCATAGCCTCAGGCAAATTCCTAGACCTGTACACCGGTCTGTCTGCCGGCTTGCTTCGGCAAGCCGTCTACACAACCGCCCGCTTGGGCTTCTTCGACACCTTCACAAACGCCTTGAAAGTCCGTGCTGATGCTACGGGAAAGAAGGTCACGTTTGCCGAACGCGCTGCAGCCGGGTTAGGAGCTGGCGGCCTTGCGGCCATGATCGGGAACCCAGCTGACCTAGCTCTGATCCGCATGCAGTCGGACGGTCTCAAACCCAAAGAGACCAGAGCAAATTACCGCTCCGTCATCGACGCTCTAGCCCGCATCTCCAAAGCGGAAGGCATCACTGCCCTCTGGGCCGGCGCCCTACCCACCGTCGTGCGCGCCATGGCCCTGAACTTTGGGCAATTGACTTTCTTTGCCGAGTCCAAGTCACAGCTGCAGGCCCACACTGACCTATCCGCCCAGAACCGAACGTTTGCTGCCTCCGCCATCGCGGGCTTCTTTGCTAGTTTCATGTCGCTCCCCTTCGATTTTATCAAGACGCGATTGCAGAAGCAGCAGAAGGACCCTAAGACGGGCCAGCTCCCCTACAAGGGTGTGCTCGATTGCGCGAAGAAGGTCGTTCGGGATGAGGGCTGGTTGAGGTTCTATCGCGGGTTTGGAACCTATTACGTTCGCATCGCGCCGCACGCGTGAGTTTTCCCCTTGTTTAAACTGAGGTATCAGAAAAAATCATTTTATTCAGCCGTCTGGTGCAACAATAGAGAAGCAGCGATTAAAAAAAATTCGAGAAAAAAGAAAAATGCCCCCCTGCCCCACTCCATGTTTAACCGTTGCCCTACCCTGCGGCCTTAACGCTAACAAAATTTCCCAGCATGGTGACACTTATCGTTCTCGATTACCTGAATGTTCTCACACAGTGAAAAGAACACACAATCGGAATCACAAGAGGGACAGAAAAAGAAGAGAACCAAAAAAAAAAAAAATAAATAAATAAATAAATAAATAAATAAATCAGATTCCTCTCGCCCGGTAGCTATAGTAATGATTACGCCGTCCCTTTCTATCCCTCCACCCCTTGTACCTATCCACTTCGGACCCGAGAAGGTAATAAAGAACGAAACGAAAATATGATCCCGAAAGAACCCGTGCTTCCGTCCGTCTAGCATTCGACGTCACAAACCAATTTTTTTTAAGCCTTGGGCCAGCGACCGGTCCCAGGCGTCCCGAGAAATTATCAATAAAATGAAAAAAAGGGAGAGGGGAACAGGAAATTTCAGCAAACTGAAACAAGAAGAAAGAGGCCAACCTGCGGACAGCTTAAGAGCATAAGCAAAAGGAAGCGCAAACGCTACATACCACACTTACATTATACATACATAACTACATGCCATGTCATGCCATGCAATGCCATGCCATGCGATTGATTGACCGAATAGACCATGCTTGCTTACCAATATATTCCCCCCTCCCCTCGGACTTGTTGGCCAAGTTAACCAGCTATTTCACAGCAATGTTACGACGTTGTGAAATATCATGCGATAGCTCCGCAAACCATGATGCGAGCTGCGGTGCGGGGGAGACACGACACGGGTGCGGGAAACCATTCTTACAGCATATCAGTATACCTTTACCACTTTTCTCCTATTGTCTTCTTTGCCTATGCCGTATGCCGCTTACTATTCCATGCCTAATGGCAAGGGCAAGGGCAAGCTTGTCCTGATTTTTTTTTCTCATTCCCCCGTTTCTTCTCCGTTCCTTGCCCGTTTATATTTTCTATACTATTTATTTATTTATTTGTTTATGTCTTTTCCTTCAATAGTTATCAAGAATTCGCAAATTCAAGGAAGCGCACAGAAGCAGGTGCGTTGAATTGTCGGCATCAGCGTCAGTGTTAAGAGTCAGCGGCAGCAGTCAGGTATGCAGATAGCACCAGTTTTCAACACGAAGTTAATCAAACGTATCTATATCTATATCTATCTATCTAGATATATATTATCAGATCCCTAAACCATAAATGCTGGGACAGGGGATGCCCTCGTGCATGAGCTTATTTATCGCCGTGGGAGTAATAAAAAGAAGTCAACCAGTCAGCGAGCCATCAAATCCATTTCTCTTCCGTGAGCACGAGCACTCCTTTTATCAAGTAAAAAGTGAAATAGCCTTTGTGCTCATGAGAGTATGGTGTGTCTGCAGTTGTGTAGTCTTCTGGGTGGCGGGGGCGGGGGGGACAATGTTACTTGTAGAAGAAGAACAAGAACCAAGGCAACGCAAGGGCAATTCCAATTACAATTGCAGAATGACGGAGACGACAAACCCTGGAGGTTGGTAACTCGGCGAGTTTGTGATGCTGCCTTTTGTGTATGTGTGTGTGTGTTTCTGCCAATGATCAAAATCTGAACGAGTGCTGGGTCAGTCTTATAACATGTCTGCCTGTCTGTCTGTCTGTCTGTATCTCCCAATGCTGAATAAATGTCATTGAGTGTCTCGGGCGGATGATGGAATGCAAGGAGGGCTGCAAATGGGCCTTTTTTTTTTTTTTTTTTTTTTTTTTTTTTTTTTTTTTTTTGCAACGCCATCGGGGGGCTTTCATGGCTGTGATCTCCTCAGTCGACATTGATATAGGGTTAACTACAGAACTAGGACGAACGGCAAAATAAATTCTTGCTCTGCATGAAATGTGAAATGCTCATCACCATGACCATGTTCCGTACCCGTTCTGAGTGGCTGGACATATCACTGTTAGACCCCATCCATCACGGAGTCTTCAAGAACGCCAGCGACAATGTTGGTTCCCCTAGGTGAACATTTGAACATGGGTAGGAAATTAGCTCCTATCATGTTCGATGAGATGGCCCTACAATGTCATCGAATATGACGATCAGCATTTGTCATGGTTAGCAATCACTTCCAACTTTTTTCTAACCACGCCACGTTCAACTAACTAAATACCAAAGTAGGACCCGGACAATTCTCACGAGTTCAGGCCTTTATTGTTAGATTATCGGGCCGAAACCTGCACCCGACCTGCTAAGTTGCTGGTGCCCCGGTCTCATCTCAGCCCGAGATATCGAAAATACCCTGCATAGAGTGTCATCGTTTCATCGTGTGTCCGTGGCCTTCCAATATTTGGTAGATCGATCTCCTGCGCTCTCATGGCGTTTTGCCCAAACGGTTACTGTGCACATTCTTATGGGGAGGATTGTGATGTTCCGCATCTTTCAAGCAACAGACGATGAAGATTTTAACTTGATCTGAAGCAACAAAAATATTCTGAATTCGTCATTCTCTCTACTCGAATGCCATCTCGAAATTCTCAATATGCTGATTTGGCGCCATGGGAAAAATCGAAAAGATAAACCAGTTCTCGGTAGCAGCTTTTGCCTCGCTGATCAGACTGACTATTGCCCTGGTGCTATATGCACTGTCCTGTACATGCTTCCATCTGAAATCTGCCCTGCGCAGATTCCTATTGGTTGATCAACAGCTCCCATCCCTGATAAATAGCGCCCAGCAAGGCAGTTCACGCCTCTCTTTGTGGATTTCTATTTCTCTCCTGAGAACAGTATTGATTGGCCGTGTCAAGAGGATATCTGCTGGCTAGTCGTGCTTGGTCACCAACGGCTGACCCCGGTATGAGATCCAGAGACCAGCCAGCTGGTGATTGCAGACTGCCTGCAAAGAGCTTTTATATTCCGCCATGCCTGCTCTGGATCTTGCTTTCTGCTGGTGTCTACCTACACTTGCCTTGCCTCATCTTGAGATTCGCTGGCAGTGCTTATTTATCGTTTTCTTTTTGTATAACCAGTGGGAGAACACCGCAAGCCCGAGATCAGGTTGGTTACTGTCTTGTCGCAACTGATGTTGCTTAGATTGGCAAGCTCTCGGATTGTTAAAGATCCGCTTATGGAACGCGTTCGAGATTTGGATGGGGAATTTGCTGCTGCTCTACCAGACCTGCAGAAATACACTTTGAAAACATGGCCTGCAGAAGATAGTATATACTTCACCTCTCCCCTTCTCTCCTCTCCTCTCCTCTCCTCTCCTCTTCTCTTCTCTTTCCTTTCCTTTCTTTTCTGTTTTCGCCCCCCTGATTGATTTGTGCTGCTAACTCGGCCTGCTTTCCTAGTAGTCACTTAACCAACACCCCCTCTTTTTCTCCCCCCCCCCCCCCCCCCGTTTGGGGGGAATACCAACGAAAGCTAGAGTTGCCTAATGGAAGTGTATAGTGGCCCGAACCCTGGGTTGGAGGCCACTGCGCCAAGGCAGAAATGGACAGAGAAGCCAGCATGAACCCGATCACCCGCCTCCCATCAGGTGCTCGTGCGGCAATCTCTGATCTTCTTGTCGTAGCACTTGAAAAAGGTCTCATTATTGGACATAGACAGGGAAATTCTGCCCTTTTTGATGGGGTATTTCGACCAGCAGATAGTCTCAAGATGCTGACAACAGCAATGTACTCAGAAGGGGTTGGATTCACCAGGCGATTTCCCATTCATGTAGTCGAACTGGAAAGTACAACTCAAGTTCCTTTCATGACAGTGTAACAATTATAGGCTGGGATTTGAGTCATGCCATGATGAAAACATCGTTGAGCTACTGGGCTCATTTGCTGGCGCGGGTGGTAAGAGCTAAAAGGATGGGGCATAGTTTGCGGACGGAACTTTCGGAGTTAACGTTCCAGGGACCAAAAGATGTTATTAGGAGAAAGGACTTTTCATCTGCTGTTGGATCGGTCTCTTCTTTCAGGAATTTAATGTAGTCTTCATCATACTCGGCAACAGTAAGGTAGACCTGATGACGATCTTGTGACAATAGTACAAAACTGGAACGCAAGTTAGTAATATCCTAGACTCTGTGGTGCTGATTACCTTACCGATTGATAGAGGGATCCGGGACTTCCTTTTGTGCAATCAAAGCTATCAGTTGGGTGGTCTCCTGCATTTTGATTGGAGCCTGGTACGGGACCCGGAGGTGGGGCTTCACCTCCACAATAGCCACAACGTCTCCAGTGCCATGCTTTCGAAGACACCCATCAGTCTGGGCCTCCAGACTTCCAGACCCAAAGGGATGTTTTATCATCCACCGCTTCATGGACCACTCCGCGGTCACTTCTTCGCAGCCAAGGCCAAGAGCATTGAGAAGCAGGATGAGGAATGTATTGACAATAGATTTATCCTCAGTGCGGGTATATGAAATGTTCGCAGCTGTCATTGAAATAGCTGAATGGTCACTAATGAATGATGCGGTGTTGCTGAGGTCGCTGTTATCCACAGACACTGGGGAGCAATCGCTGTCTGGACATGATCTCCCAGAAGTCTGGGTGGGTGATGTTGGCTCGACTAGCAGCTCGTACGCAGGGAGAAGGAAAATCTTGCTCCATGGGGTCTCCATCTGAGGAGCTATATGACTCGGTGAGCGAAGGTCCCCGGGGGACTAGTGATTCAAGTTGAAAGTTAGGTTGTCTCATAACCTGCTTGCCCGCAGCGGCCGCGTCGAGAGCCGCGGTCCGACTTCGGGTTCGGATTGGAGTTACAATGACCTTTTCAGCAGCATCCTCCCTGTCCGTGTTGGTAATTTGTTGCTGGATATGCCTGACGAGAGTAAAAGCGCCAAGATCAGGAAGCTTACCGAGCGGTCTCCCCCTATTAGAGAAAGCGTCAATGTCAGCAAGATACTCCTTGTAAGGACTACTCCGCTTCAGACGTGCTTTCGCTTCCTTGGCATCTTTTTGGCTGAGACCCAGGTCTTCCAATGAAACCTCTTCGGGACGATAATCGTTCCAATATGATCTAAAGGTCAAATAAACGTTTGGATCCATTTTCGATGCGGAGGGAAGCTTCGTGGAATTGGCAGGGAGAGCGCAGGGATGGACTCCGTCGACACCAGCAGCTTTGGCCGCTTCGAGCCACTCAATTTCATCTGTTGGGAGTATGAAATTCAAAGGAGTGCAGGGAATTAGTTGGATAAATGAAAGCACACAACACGGGTATGTGACACAAGTTTGTGAGAAGAATGCCCAGTGTGCGGTTTGGCGGGCTGTAGTGAATGGGATATAGAACACAGGGAATAAGACTCTTGATGGTGATTGAAGGACTGAAAAAAGAGATACAACGAAGACTCCTGCGGGAGCTATATATGCTGTTTCTCGACGTTCGTACGGGAAGATATCAGAGATAAGGAAATCCTGACTATAAACCACATCGCAGGGAAGGTGTGAATCAATTGGGTGTTATCTTGCGGCAAATGCACCCCCCCTTAGCGTTTACTGCGCAGATAATGAAACATAGAGTTGGGATGATAGGTTCAGGTTGTTATATCAAAGGGAAATGCGCCATGCCTAGGGTTTAGGCGTTCGCCGCCAGTGTACGGTTGTTTCCGGTACATCGCTGCTGCAGAGGAACCGAGTCGGCCATAGGCCTAGACAATCAAAAAGTTCCAAAGGATGCGCATTCGCTTGCTAAGAGATAAGATTCACTAGACAAATTTGGAACACCAACAAGAACCCCTTGACAAAAAGAAGCTTGGAATGGGGCTCAATCGACAGCAGGCGATACGCGGAGCAAGCGGCCTTGCTTTGCTCCCGGAGAGTGCCAGTGGTTTCATCCATGGGTATTGGCAGTTGAAACATCAATTGGGTACTAGAGCATGTCCATCCTAGCCTCAAAGGAATGTCAATGGACGTCCGGAGTGAGTCACCCAGAAGTGCGCAGGCTGGTTGTTGATAGTTCTCGCGATAACAAGAAGTTCATTATCATCAAGGCAACCAATTGGGCAGCACTTTGGAACCGGAAAAATAAAAATGCGGCCCACCTCGGCCTGAAAAAGCAACATTTCGGATTCCGATCTCTCCATGCCCACGGCGCAAGAAACCCCCCTGTTGGCGAAGATGGGACCGCCATTGCATGGCGACCCATCTAAACAGAGAGCCAAAATCAAGAGGCAGTGGTATCGCCGGCCCGAAAAGCCTAGTGTCACTACTAGATGAAAATCCCAGACCGTCCTCTACTGGACTGCGCTGAGCAGTAGCGCTTGGGAATCTGCCTGCTCAACTCCTTCTCTGCTGGCGTTGACGATTCGCCATATCCTGAGCTTGAGATGCGATACTTTTACGCCAATTCTTCCCGAAAACCTTCCTATTAATCCCTGTTGTCCATCATTTTGGACCGGTTAAGGAGCTTCACCTCATAAATCTCTCTGGCCTCTGACTCTCGGTGTGTTGACCCCATAAAAAATGATGAAGAGATGGCGACTTACTATGATGGGTGGGATTTGGCTGCCCTCATAACAAGTCATTCGAATAAACTGCACTTCGGGGGTTACCACTCACCATGGAAACACACAGAGTAAGAAACCTTCTTCCTCTCTGATTTTACTCCCTACACCATAATCTCCGGCCTGCTAGTTCTGGCGTGCCACGCCGTCGGGGTGTGATATATTGCGAACGTGTCGGCGAGCAACAGTTTCTTGTTCGCAGGGTGTTGGACATGTTCTCAAAGCGGAATCCACATCAGATCCTTCTCATGGTATCGTCCCATCCGGTAGTAGAGGGTGACTCCCTTCTTCGATCCGAACTTCTTGCGATGACCAGTTACATGAAATGGAAGACGCGGGTGATGGAGCGTGAGCAGTCTCTCGTGTGTCCGGTGAGTACTCGCATCATTCTGAAGGAAGGCAATGTCGGTCCACGCCGGAAATCGGAGCTATTAATTAAATAGCTGATGGTTTATCCACATGCTAACATTTTCATTCTAGGTTATGGTGATCTCAATTATGACACTATTCAAGGTTCGCATTCTCCAAGGTCCATGTGAGCAAGGTGTTTGATTTTGCTGTGGATGACCATGGGCCTGTGATGAATACTATTATTGGCTATCTCAGATCAATACCACATGGAGATACGGCTCTTAGCACGCAGTTTCCTATTTTGCGACACAATGTTCATGTTAGCGATGATAATAATGAGAAGGATGAAGACGAGGCTAAGAAAGGAAGCGGATAGGGCAAAGGAGAATGAAATGGCTGAGACCAGAGCTCCTGAGCCTTGATTTGTAGGCGGGTTTCACGATTAATGATCGCTCACTTAGACTTCCTATTATATACTAGACCACGTCCATATTGCCATTTTCGCGTGATGAATTCGCGTAGAGAGTTAGATTCCTTTCTTAACGGAATCCTTCCTTTCTATCAATTCTTCTGTTTCTGTACCCTTGTTACCCCTTCGCTTTGGGAACTTGTTTATTTTTATTTCTTTAAAAGGAAGATCCCTTTGTTTTCTTTTGTTGTTTTGTTTTTTGTTTACTCTTAGAAGAATAGAATGAAGGAATAAAAATAACATAACTAATCCTTCAATTCTTGTTCCTAATCCTTGAGCTAAGCACAAGAGCTCTGCCGTGCTTGTTTCTCCTCCTTCCAAGGTTTCCATGACGCAGGCTTGGAACCCTATTCTTCGTATCAAGAGACATCTCATCCTTCATTGCGCCAATCCCAATCCCCCCGTTTCAACAACGCGGCGTGGAGAGAGTCCCGGAATGCATCCCCCAACCTGTTCGCCAGCACCACGGTAGCACGGTTCCCAACCCCGGATTTAGTAGCTCCATTGCTATCTTAATGAATTCAACACGCCTTTTCAACACACTAGGAAGACCCTCAACGCGTCTTTTACCCTTTACCAGTAAGTCCATGCTTGCTGGTGCTTATCATATTGGCCAAAAGCCGATCCACTCATCGCTTCGTGGTTTTTGCCACGATACTGATGATGTTGAGGAGGAGTTTTCTCTCCTCAATGAAGAGCAACTGAAGCAAGTTTATGGTGGTGTGTATCCAACTGATTTTCCACGAGAAGCTATTCGCTTGAAAACTACATTGCAGCAGCATTCGCTTTTGCAGGCAAAATTCAGCCGTGCAGAGTATGTCTTTCAGAAACCTTGTCTCTCGCTATGCTGGCCCTCATACTAACATTTATCCGTATTAGATCAGATAGAGGCGAAATTAAGCGCCTTCGTTTCCACAGAGGATTGTCGGCTACATCTATCCTCCACCGAATAACTCCTGTTCATGATCGCCTGGTTGAAGGAACAAGAAATGTCTTCTACGATCACTTTTACGCCAAAAACCTAGTTAATCGTTTCATCATGTACACAAATTCAACATTCTATATCGGTGCTGATACCCCCAATACCATCCGTCTCGTTCCTGATCTTGCGATCTGCTCTGCCTCGCAACATCCGTTCCTTGTCCTTGAGGTTGGTTTGAGTGAAAAGTACGATGATATGCTCGAAACGGCCAAGACAGTACTCTCAAAATCGCCCACGACAAAGTTATGTATCATAATAAAGGTCTTCGAAAAGCCTCTGTTTCGACCACCAGTCAAACTCGGAGATTTCCTCTGCAAACCACGTTCTGACATTCCCATCCCATCGCCACTGTCAATGAATGACTGCCATGCATGTGAGAGTGAACCAGAGGGTCCCATTATGGTCAATGGCTTGAGATGGGTTGGCAAATTATCTGCCTTCTGGGAAATTTGGGGTAGAGATATCTCAGGCAACCCCGCCGTCATCGGAGAGAGACTGGTAGGTTAACCACTGTCGAAACATGAAACTCAATACTCTATTTAGGTGTATCTAATCCGCAGTTATTGCAACTTCAGTGGTTCTATGGTCCGAATGCCCAGTCTCAAACCATTAAAGTCGACCTAACAGGACTCGAAGGAAACTCCACGGAAATTGCTATTAAAAGCTCTGTTTTGGCCCAGGCGATACACAGCTCACGCGCCCACCTGGCGGCCAATCGTTGTTATGAATTTCTCACAAATTGGTCTGCAAAAAGACAAAAAACTTAGCATTCATTCATGACTTGTGTGTTACATTTTCTTTTTTTACTGTCCCAGCTGTCTTGTATGATAAATGAGGGATGTGTTCAGCTTTACTGTGTATAGTTATACCCACATTGTATTATTAAAAAGTTTATTGCTCCTCAACCCATGCACCGGTGTTTGAAGCACCGCAGTGATTAATGGAGCAACGGAAGTTTAATCAAAGACTATGATATAGCAATCTTATAGAGATCTTACCCGCAGATAGGCGTGTAGCCATAGATCTCTATACTAGAGATTGCCCACGTGTATAGGGTGTTTTATGGGCTTATGCCTAAAGGACGGTTACCTGTGGATACTATATAGAAGGCGATCATTGGACTTGGAGGATCCAGCCAAATTAAATCGAGGGCAGTGAAGGTCTCTCCATCACCCCCCGGAGCTCGGGAGGACAGGTTGTAATGAGCGAACTGCGATTGCAGCAAGGGGGTCGAAAACTTGAAACAGTTCGGCTGATAATATGTACTCACTGACTCTTCCTGTATGTTTTTAATACTTAGGACAGGTTTACCCAATCCCGACCCCCCATGGCTAACACCGAGACTCCCTCTAATAGCTAGGTCCACGCAGCTTTGTTTGAGGCTCAAGCAACGCGAAAATATTACCGTTCGATCCAAGAGGTACATGCGTCCCACGCCGTTTTATTCTGCCTATCGGAAGCACTCTAAGACACTTGCATGGAGGTCTCTCTCAGAGAGGCCTTACTGCGTATCATGATAAAAGCGTGTTTGGAGAATTTGTCACAGAAATTCCTCCTTTAATTGACAGATGAAGCTCTAGCCCGCCCTAGATTATGGGTTGGGTGAGTTCACCTTTCCTTGGAGAGACCCTTTACATCGTTTAAATCCCTGGCCCCTGTACAGCCCATCGTTTTTCTAAACAAGCATGCGCTATGGGCCTGATAATTTGGGTTTTTAATCTTGGGGCCCCTCTGCGGTACTTGCCGCCCTTCGAGGCGTAGCGCCCACTGCCTTGACTGGCTGGCATGGCTGAATACTGTTTTGTCGCGTGTGAGGCGCGCGTGGTGGAGTGCGAAAGCGAGATGAAGAATTTGGCTGTGGTGTTGCTGAGTGCTGGGGACGTAGAGGTTGGGGGGAGGTGGGGGGGGAGGCCATGATGAGGATCAGAAGAAAACAAACACTAAAGGTTGGAGCTAAAAAGGTCGGGTTAAAAGCCTAGTCCATGACAACAAACGTTTGGGAGCTTTATAAAAGCCAATTGGGAGGTAGCAGTTTAACAAGCTAATAAAAATACTTTGAAAATGTCGAGAGTGTAGAAAATGAAGGAGTTTATTCACGTATAAGGGTATGAGATGTTCGAAGTCGGATAGCAGAGAGATCAGGGAGTTCATGAAGTAAAGATATGAGATTGAGATAGATGGGTGGCTTGCACTGCTCCTCCCATTACTTAGAGTAATGGACCAATTAATCAAGCAAGATCCACCATCTGTGTATCCGGCACTACGCTGAGCTCTCTCGATCCCTCCCGCTGCGTCCCTTGTTCCCTCTCAGCCTTCACCTCCGCTCTCCCCTTGGCCTTGCCTTTCCCCATCCTCCCCACGCTGCCCAGAGCAATCCCCACCCCATCATCATCGCCATAAACATCCTCCTCCTCCCTATCCTCACCGCCTTCCTCCTCTTCCTCCATACGCCTCCTCTCCTCCGCTCTTCTCAGTCTTCTCACAGCAACAACATCCACTTCAAGATCATGCATTGAAATCGGCACTGAGCAAATAGGGCAGTCCACGCATCCAACACGCTTGCCAGCCGGACCAGCACCATTAGTACCATTAGCAGGAATAACGATACGTTTCTTACTACGCTCAATCATCGCGACGATCGCTCGCCGCTCAAAGCTATGAGGGCATTTCTTGCTTTTAACAGGCTCTGTGAAGGGGAGGAGGGTTATTGGACAGCAGAGAGAGGCTCGTTCGCTATGGATAGCTAGGTCGTCGGAGTCGTCTACTGTTGATCCTGCGTTTCCGCCATTCGTACTGCCGGTAGCATTGGTGGTCGTAACTTCGCTAAGGGAAGCCGTGGTAGGCTGCTCAACGTCTGCGAACCAAGTGGACGGGTGCGGCAGAGGCGGGATCTCATCGCCAGGATACTTTGATTCGTGCACTATGCGGTAAAATCCAATGTATTTGTCATTGGTTGTGTAGCTAGTCGATTGGTGTTAGTATCATATATAGAAACGCACACGTGTTTGTATATAGGGCAAACAGCAGCGGAATACATACCGATCCGTCAACGACGTCCCTTTCCATTGAGCCTTCTTCTCCTTCAGTTCCTTCCGTAGCACTTTGCACGTTCCACCATTTCGTATGTAGAGAGGCTCCTCAACAGCTAGCTTCTCTTCACCTTCACTTTCACCCTCATCTTCATCATCCTCATTCTCTTCCCCTGGCCTCCTTCTCATCTTCCTCCGCTTCGCGTGCGGCGCAGCAGGTACCACCATAGCCGCATCCCGGTGGACCTGAATCAACCCATCCGTCAACGAAACGGTTCGGACCTCCGCATCGATAATTTTGCGCATCCTCTCCTCCAACTGGTCCGTCACCGTCTTCACGCGCTTCTCCAAATCAACAAGCTTATTACTGGCCTCGTCACCCTCCCCATCACCCCGCTCTGCTACCTCCTCATTCTCCACATCTGCAGCTTTCCTCTTCATCCCCGCCCTCTTCGCCTGCCGTGCCTTCGCATCTACGAGCCGATCATTGATCATCCCCGCACACTCCGTCAGCGCCTGCGCGGCAGAAGTGAGTCGCGACTGCAATGCCGCCAGGCGTGGAAAGCGTGGCAGCTGGCTGAGTTTATATAGCGCGCTGGCATTGAAGGGTGCGACTTGGGGCTGGTAAGGGGGTGGCTGGAGAAGGGTGCCGCGGGTGGATTGGTCCTGTCTCCGACTGCTTCCTCCATGGGCATCAGAGAGGCGGGCTGATCTGCTGCTTCGAGGTTGCTGGTTGGGAGTATTTCGTGAGGGAAGCGCAGCTCTAGAACGAGGTGTGTAATTGGCGGACATGGTCTCGGCTCCTTGTGGGCTAATGGAGATGCTTGTTGTTGAGAAGAAGGCCTGCGAGTTCAGACTGGTTCGGCAAACAGATGGGAAGACGTGACGCGATCGCGCTAAACTCCTGAAAAAAATGGCTTTGTCTGTGATTCACGTGATCAGTACCACCTCTCACACTCAATGTCGACAAATACGGATTCAAATAGGCTTGTAGGCAGGAGGAGTAACTTGTGAGGAAGGGCATAGGATTGTGTTTACTCGTGTTCTACCATTTGACAATGTCTTTCTATTCGCCTTCCCATTGTTCCAACATCGCCGATTTCCTCAAAAGCGTTTTTAACAACAATTAGCAATGAATTTAATACATATGATGTATGTAGAGGATGGATAGATACTAGTAAAGTGATTTTACACTGAATGAATGTATCATACACTGTATCATGTCTAGTCCACGGATGTGAGCATCTAGATTGTGTATAGACACGAAGGAAACACGACCAATCCACTGGAAACCTACCGACTACGCCTGCGTGCATGTTTCAAGTATGTGTAACTTTTAGTTATATGATGTTAGTGTATAGGGGGAAGCATTAAATGTAAGACCCCAAATGTCTGTAAATGAAAATGAATGAAACCTATCCGATGGGAAAAGATGCATGACATGGACGCGAATCACTTGAATAAGAAGGCAATGGCATAATTGGCATCATCAAACTTTGTAGAAGCAAAAAGCATGGTAAAAGCCTAAGGAAATGTATGTTAGTTGACTACCCCTTAATCTGCCCGGAATAGTTGAAACGAGTAATGAGAGCATACTAGCAGCTTCCAGTTCCTCATCTTTCACAAGCATAGGCCCACCCCCTCGCGCCCGCACGCCCATACGCTCACTAAGCGGTCCCAGGATAGGATCGTCCTTCTCCTCTTTCCATATATCCAAGAAAGGCTTGCGGTATTGGAGCTCCAGATTGTAATCCTGCGTCAAACTGAAGAAACAAATAGAACGGGTCAGCACCAGGCGGATATAAAATTAAAACGCATATATGTGGCATGTTACTCACGCTCGAAAAGCTTCCCACGGTACCACATATTCTGGGATCTCTTCAACGGCCTCTTCCATGAAATAGCTATATTTCCAGCCAAACGCAGGCCGGAAAATGCCATCCACGGGTGTCTCTCCGGGAAACCGGACACGATAGATACTATTCCCCCATTCGGGCACCATCATTGGCGATTCTTCTACCTCGCCATCTTCACGTTCGCCAGCATCACCAAGTTTCGCAGCTGCAACAGCAGCTTCCTGCTGTTTTTTCTTCTCATGGAATTCTACAACTTTAGCGCTGAGCACGTCTGAATTGGGTCCCACGCCAATGAACCGGCCGCCCTTCTTCAACAAACCTGCGACATTGTGCAGCATCTGCCGGGCCTTTTCTTCGCTCTCAAAGGCATAGTGCATGCTAAACATGGAAACGACAATGTCAAAGCCACCGCCGCCCCAGCGAGCCGCCATCATCGACCCACCAGGACCAACACTTCCATCAATACCAACCTGTTGCACAATCGGGATATCACCAACCCATTCACCGAAACAGTCCTTGGGATAAAATTCCGCATGGAAAAGCTGATGGCCTCGACGACTCATCCTGTCTTTCCCCCTTTTCATAGTAATGTATCTCTCGCGAGCCTGTTCGATAGATATTTCCGCAGGATCCAATCCCACATAAAGATCTACTGGCTGTGGTGCTTGCTGCCACTTGCCTAAATCCCCACCCTTTCCACATCCCATGTCGAGGACGAGCAGTTTCCTCTCTTCCGTAGGCTCCGCGCCAACCCAATTCCTCCCATTCGCTCGAGCCAAGAATTCCTCATCGGGAGAGAACTTCTGGATGACAGTGCTTTTAATCCAATTGTTAAAACTGCGCAAGCCCTTTATCCGGCTATCCGTCTTCCGCCATTCCCTGCCTCTTTCTGGAACCGCGTTATAATGTTGACGCACGACGTCATGGACCCCGCGCTCCCGTAATGCGACCTTGGCTTCCTCTTCCCTCTGCCGTTCCCGTTCCTCTTGTCTGCGTTTCAACGCTTCGAGATTTGCAGAACTGATCCGAGCAGCTCCGCCTGGTCTCTTTCTTTGTCTTGGAGCGGAAGCATCAGGAGATTCCGAACGACGGATTGGAGAAGGTGACCGTTCCCGACGCGTTTGGATGCCTTTATGTCTGAGATCGGGAGATCGGGACCGACGGGTTGGGGTGGGAGAACGATCTCGAAGGGAGTAAGCAGACGGCGGAGCTTTAGCCCTTTTTTTATGCTTCAGTGAGCTTTCTTCCTGTCGTTTGCGCTTAGACACCGGTCGTTGTTCGGGAGCAGGTTCTGTTTTCTCTGGTGAGGGTTGGTTTTCGGGGAATTTTCTCTTTTTTTCATTGTTATCAGCTTTGTTTTTTCTTCTGTTATCGTATGCTTCGGTGTGTCCATCGTGAGTCGGATTGGGGCTCCGAGAAGGAGATCCGCCATTGCGCGGTAATTCATCTATATTAATGGTAGTGAGTATTAGAAGATGTTCCTATATTATCGCTAAATATCATAAGAGGGCCTTGAGAGATAATCACCGTGCGCTGTATCGGACGAAGCCCCCATTTGAACAGTAAAAGCAACGGAAGGGTTTAGTTTGTTGTTATGGATGGATTGAACCGAAAGAGAGGCCTTCGGGGCAGGTTCAGTGCTTTTGTTATTGTTGTGAGGTGAAGAGAAGTTTCTTTCAGGTTTTGAGCCTCTGCCGCCACTATCGATAGTTTCCTGCAGCGCGGAGTGGATGGGCGGAGTGCCCTGCAGAACCAACCCGCCAACGCGTCCAGATCAGTCCCACCTGGCGCTTTAAAGCTAAGAAGAATGGAGGAAAACCAAGCGGACCGAAACATGGGTTAAATTAAACCCCCTGGGGCGACGAAGCATTAAAACCCCGAAAATAAGCAAGGGCATACCTTTGATGACTCGGCTTCATTATTATGAACAGCAGTAGATCCTTGATAATGCAAAGCTCCATCGTTTGTCTCTTCCTCTTGGGCTAGCTCATGAGCGTTGATGTGCTTCGCCGCATTGGCTATCTGGGGGCTATCATCAGAGACGGTATACATATCTCGGGCAGGATCATACATGGTAATGGACGCACGCCTTCTGTCAACAGGTATGCGCGCACCCATGTCTGTATCTCTGCAGTGTTTGTCTGATTGCATAATGGTAGCTGGGGGATGAAGTGATTCCGCACATCAACGAGTCCCACATGCAATGGATGGATAGACAAGGTACGGAGTAGTCACGTGAAATTTAAAAATGCCCAAGTTAATTAGAGTTTTACGCCTTTTTAAATGCACTCTAGTTCATACTTAATGCGCCTATCAAACCTTATGTCTATGGAAGCATTGTGTAGTGCGTGTGCACGGCGTGTAGACTCAAATAATACTATATTGAGGATAAACACGATGGGTATAACATAATATACATTGCAAGATAGAAGCTAAAAAGGCGCCAAAGATTAAATCATGTCATATATAACAAGCGATATAAATTCTCAACGTCCCCCAGCAACATATCCCGTCTTTTTCGGGCTCTTCGCTTGCAGAGACTGCCTTACTCTCCGCAGTTTAATCCACCACTCTCTATCCCGCAGTTTTCGCTTTTCGTCGTCATCGAGCTTGTCTTCTGCTGGATTTGCCAACGATTCCTGATTTGATGCCTCAGCTGCCTCAGCTGGCGTCGAGGGTATATCACCTCTCGTCCGCCGACGATGGACAGTCTTAATTGCCTGGGCCAAAATTTCCCAGCCGCTCTGCCGTTTCCCGTCAAAGCCATGTAAGACAGGTTTCCGGCCTCCACTCTGTGTTTCCGGGTTGACCCACGGGCAGTAATCCAAATGCTCGCCAACAACATCAAGTTTTGCATACACCGATATACTCCCGTCTTCCTTAGGTTTATACATCCATAAGCCCAGCCGACGGAAGCAGGCTCCGCATGTTGCTAATCCAGCCCCAATATCAGGGGTGGCATCCCAGCCAAAAGTTGCAAGTGCAAATGCCGATTTATTAACTTTTCCATCTCCATTCTGACAGGATATATTGGTTCGACTAGAGTCGTGATCGATAGGTTGTTCGGGAAGTTTGTCAGTGGGCTGTCCGGTCACACACTCTAGTGTATCACTCAAAAATGTCGGAGGTAATATCCTGAGTGTTTCGTCCAAATCTAATTCAGATGGCAGTTGGATGTTATCGATTGGAGGTAGTTTAGACTCAAGACTGGCAAGATTCAAATAGCGCGTATGTAAGCTATTTACTGCTGTTTCCGGATTTGTGAGTGGCAACCGCTGTATGGTATCTGAATTTAGATATTAGCAAATCCTGATTCAATTTCCTCTTCCAGAGCGCGAGTTAGAATTACCATCACAACCGCTTTTCCGCCACGGGCATCGTTCAGCATGCCCATCTGATATTAGTTTAGAATATTCCTCCACCAATCTAGCCTCTGCTTACTAGTCAGAACAAAAACCAAGAAAGAAAAAAAAACAATCAAAAGATCCCAGTGTATCAGGTAGTAAACATACCGACTTCCCTACGCTCTATTATTTTGTCCGCCTCATCCTCGCCCACGTCGTCCACATCTTCTGGAAGCTTCACAACCACAGCACAACCACAGCCACCCACACATTCCACTCGCATAACATCCACGCACGACCAACCCCGTTTCGCCCATTGAACTTCATTTATAGAAGCTGGTTTTGGGGACCATCGATCCACCCTGCGGAACGTTTCCAACCGCTCGAGAAACCGCTCGCGGTCCCAGGGAACGAAATTGGGGCGAGGTTGCGACGATGGCTGCTGAGACGAGTCAAGAGATGTATTGGACACAGATTTCCTCGCGACCATACCGTCGGGATTAGTTACTGAGCCCGAGGACGCTACCCGTACCCTTTTGATAGTCGGACACAGCGTTGGGGTGTTTGAGTCTGTTTGGGTAGCATGAGGTGTAGTTGTCGAAGAGCTTGCATTGGAAGATCTCTGTAAATTGGCACCTGATAGCGAATCGAGGACCCTGTGGAACTTCCGTTTCTTCGTAGCCAGCGCGTAAGACATGCTGCTAATTAATTTGGCAGTTGTACAGCTTCCCGGGGGGTTCATGCTGAGAGCGGGATGTTTCCTGGGATGCCGATTTTGCGTCATGTGACTTCATTGTTTATTTATTCACCGTAAAAACACGCGAAGTCAAGGAGCATATAGTCTCAACAGATTCTCAACCCAAGCGAGATGAGATATGATAAATAGCCGAATCCTGCTGGTACTCCGCTCACTCCATGGCTGTTTGATTACTGGACTTTTGAAAATAACCTGTCATTATATGTTCCCATGATCTGGCGTGCGTTGGTTAAATTCAGGCTTTTAATAACCTGCGATTTGGCTTCCGCGAACATAAGGTCCTGGTACGCATATTGTCACTGGAACTCCATTCCCTTACGGCGCCCTTAGCATCACTCTGGGGGAAAAGTGCCTCTCAACAGCAATAGACTTGCATTGGCCTTGCATAAAGAGACTACAACATTTTCACTGTTCTTAGGCATGAGGCATGTTATGCATGTGTACATTTTCAACTCGCATTGCCCATGATTGTTTGTATCATGGCATACATTCTGGGAGATCCTTGCGTTCATTGCATTGTTTTTGAATCAATCTCATTCAGCATGCGCACATCACTTTGAGGGTGAACCCACTCTTACATGAAGTAATTGACATCTTCATGATTTTATTCATATCAAACACAAAGTGAGCTGGGTGATGATGCCTAGTATATATATAGGGTGGTGCTGTTGTTTTTGAAACCTTCACTCCATTTATCGCAAACTTCTACAATACCTGCTTCTGAGCAAATATTGAAGTACCCTCCCCTACTCTTGACAGCCAGCCCGTTTTAGCAAAAAGCCTCTACATTCAAACAATGAAGGCAAGGGAGTATAGTTCTCCTCATTGAACCCCCCCATTGCACCTCACTCTCAAAAAGATATCAGGCCACTTTCCCTGATTCAGAGAAGCCATCTAACAAAGCTAGTAAACACACGGGGCATTTCCTCTCCCATTCCGCCTTGACTGTGTCTCACATATCTGCGCGAAGATAATGGATGGGCAAATAATTGGAGACAGCGCAGTCGTCAGTGAGGAATGATGGACATGCCAACGGGCTGACAGATGCCATCAGATAGAATCCTCATACACCCTTTGCGTGCCGCCCAACCCATAGCTATGTACAAATCGTGTCTCAATAATAATATTGCATACATTAAGTGCTTCACTTCTTCTTCGCCGAAGGACCCGTGGTAGTCCCTCCTTGTCGCTTATATTTCCTCGGATCTATCCCCATCAGCAAACTAAATCAACTATACAGGGGTGGCTAAAAGTGAACCCAAAAGTCACGGGCAACAGCTCAAACTATAGTAATATACATATACGTACCTTTCCGATTCATGCGTCTCTTATCTCTTGTCCCCTTGCCCCCTTCCCAAAACCCACTGCCAGCCTTCCCCACGAGTGTCGAGTGGCAGATGCCACAGCTATCCGGGCGGTAGATCTGTTCGCGGGAGCAAAAGCCACTACAGATATGTAAGTAAAATAACCGCATGCAAAAGCTTCCCGCGAAGGAGCCATCACGTGGGAATTGGTTGGTCATTATGAAAGTAGGTAAGAGCGTGGAGGAACAACTTACCAGATCATGCGGTTGGCATGTTCATTTGGATGGTCAGTCGCAGCGTCATGGCATCTGTGAGGAGGTATTAAGTTTCCCGCTTCCTGATTGAACTGAAGTGGCTTAACGTACCTATCGCAAGGGAAAACCTTGAGACAACAAGAAAACCTGGATACAAGGATGAGCCATCAAAATACTAAAAGCTAAGGGATGCTAAAAAACAGTCATGTAACGAGAGTGAGCGTAATTGGTGCCGTGGAGTAGACTGTGGGTTCTTGCAGAAACTAACTGCGTAACTGCATGGGAATGAAGAGGGTCTCGCATGAGCTTAATTAGAATGGGGTTCAACCAATATGACCGCAAAACGTACCTAAACCACCGATAGCTCTTCCCATAATGCGAGCATCGGCCGCGACGAGGCAATTCCTGCCCAGCTACAATTCCCAGAATCTCCTTTGACTTCAAAGTTCCAAAAATGTACATGTCAGTAAAAACAAAGCATGTGAAAATTTCCAAAAGCAGATATTGACTATCAGAAAGTCTGGAATTGAAAAACTAAAAAGACTGTTTTTTGAATCCGATGGAAAAATTACGCACCTTTTTTGCCTTGGCAGGAGTGTGAAATGTGCCTGTTACAAATTAAGCAACTAGTCAGTCTCGATGTGTTCCACTCGAGCAATATTGAGCACATGCTTTGGAAAAAAAGGGGGAGAGAGGCAAAAAGTGAAGAATTCCTGAGAACAGCGGGTGGGCATCAAAAACAGAAATGTACGTCAATTAGTTAGTTAAAATGAGGTTTTATGGACACTCGCGCAGGAGCATGACCTTTTCCCAAGGTCCGAGGCAGAGCCGAAATCGAAACTAGGCAAGGATGCCTACAAGGGATAAAATCAAGCCTGAAATCAGATGCAAAATGCATGAAGAAGGGGAAAAAGGCCAGGCAGCGCACGACACAAAAATAAAAACAAACGGGTGGAGCTGAAAACAGAGAATCTGCCCAAGGTTTTCTCAAAAGCCGAAAATTGGGCAGTCGTGTAAGGGCCGGCTAACCTCGTACAAGGACATTGTTTTTGGACAAGATCAAATATATCAAAAATTCGACGGTGGTAAAAACCAATATCAGCCGACTGGTTTAGAACTGATCAACTCACCTCCTCCAGCGCTCACAAGTAAAAATTTGACCTCGGGAATTTTAAACCCTGTGAGAAAAAGCAATATTGTTAAATGTTGCAATCAACAGAGCACTTTGAACGACAGGGATTATCTCGCATCGTCGGGTAAATCCATGCTTAGGACAGAACGTACTCATTGTATGGTGACATCCACGACAAACTGCCGACGCATCATCTCCTCGAACTGCAACAATCCCTAGTGCGGGGTATGTTGTAGAGCATTCAGAGCATGTGGGAATAAAGTGGCTAAGATCAAATAACAACAGTGAGAACGGTCAACTGCGTCAAATGCGGTGGAAGATGGTGTTGCACATAATATATCGAATACTATACGCGTAAACAAGTTTTGCAATCAGGACTTACCTGGGCAGCAGCTCAACTGCATGGCATCCCTCCAAATCCAGGTACCCCGCACGGTTAGAACTGGGGTGCATTAGTTCGCGGCGAAAGCCTAGTCCAAAATTAAAATTTCAATAAGTTAATCCTTGGGCAATGATATCGATATCTACAGAATATAGGATCAGTAGTTTGTGTGATAAATTTCTATACCTACCAAGGCTAATGTAGTTACCGCACTTCTTGCATGATTCAACACGTTTTGGCGGTATGCTAATACCATCATCTCCAATTTTGATGTTTTTCATGTCAAGGAGGTCCTTGCACCTCTCACATTTCAAGGTTAAGTGTAAGGCTTTCAGCTCGAGGAGCTCGATGCCCCGGAGTTCCATTGAAGGGAACGAAAGAGCCACATCGCGGCCTGCTGGAAGTGGTGGCACTGATGGAATGTTAACACCGCCGCCGTCGCCATCATCGTCACTATCGGCAGCGCTTTCTTCTGCGTCAGAGTAGTCCGACTCGTCACTATAAGACTCGTTTCCCTCCTTAGGCGACATCCATTCCGGTGGACGAGGGATGACCTGGATGTGTGGTCGATCAGCCAACTCAGTCGAAACCTCCGTATCCTTAGGCTGGGACTCGAGTCGAGGTGTAGTAGCAGATGAGACGACTATTTCTTTAGCATCTGGATTATCATTCAATGATAACAAAGTAACTCCACGGTCAGACTCAGAGCTTTCAACTAGTCGATTCGCTAGAGTATGTAGCATTGTCGAAAGGTAATTAACATGTGATGTCAAGCTCGCATTGGGATTTTTTATGACATGGTTTTTAAATGATGACTCTGTTGCTCTAGCCGAGTTGTCATCGGTCCCAAGAATATTAATATGACACGGCTCGAGGGGGTATAACAAGGGAACAACCAAATTAAACTGTTTCACAGATTTAAGAGACTGAGGGATTAAATGGGGTTTAAGTGGATTGAGAGGAATGGTAAATGAAATGCCATCTGAAGATTTCGAAAACAATGGCGTTCTCTCAAGCCGAGACGTAAGTTGTGTAATCTCTTTTGCACGTCGTAGATTCGCTTGCTCCTTTTCTTGACTGATTGTTGCCGCGCGAGGTTGCTTTAAGTTGCCCTGGTCAGGGGTATAGCCTTCACTCTCGTGAGCAACACTGCCAAGTGGTGCTGTAACTTGCCCTGGGTTCTCTTTGTGGAAAACTTTCGTGAGAGATCTGTCAAGGACGTTCATCCGGTTTAGAAGAGTGCCCGAAATACGAGCTTTGGTAATATTTTCGAACTCTTCTTGAATAAGTATTTTTTCTCTCATCCCTACATTCTCGTCAACAATTTCCAGTGAAGGCATGCCTCGTACAGGATAGTCTAGGGGAACATGCATGGCGCAGGCCAGGCTTTTCAAATTATCAGAAAGGTCCAGGTCGGAAGGGTGCATGTGGAATGATAGAATCGTTCCATCTTCATCGGATCTCTCTTGAGGATGAAAACGGCGCCTTATTTGATTGAGTTCGAACTCCCTGGGATTACCACGCTGAGCATGTGGGGTTGGCCGTTGAACAGCTCGAGGCTTGGTACCAGTAGATTCTTGGGGTGAAGTGGTTAATTCCTGGGCTTGCGGCGTCAATTCTTCCTCGTTTCTGGCAGCGAGGAATCGGGCTTCAGGATCAATTGCAGTTTCGACCCGCGCATTGTTGGTGGTATCTATAAAGCTAGTCGGGTTCTCTGAAGATGCAGCCAAGGAGTTGCTGGACACCGTTTCGTGTGCAAACCGGCAGGCATCGCCAGCCCGACATCCTGAGAAGGAGTCAGCACTGAAGGATAAGGAGGTGGGGTAAACGAAAGGTCATGGGACCTAGAAAAGGGGCCAGCAAACGAAAATCAGAAAGGGGGCAAAGTGAACAACAAACATGGAAACTCTGGCGCCCAACATATATCGAAAGGAGATACGTATAACCATTGAACTGAACATGTACCGTCCACAAACAAGTATCATGAAATTCCAAAACGATGTAATAACAAAACCATTTTTGTATTTGCAAAAAGACATGAGGAAAGGCAAAACCGAATATTACGGGCGGAAGCAACAAATACCCCAAACAAAAGAATCAAATAATCAATCCAGTCAATCAGCCGTCGAAATCAAGCGGGCATGCAAGCAAGAAGCCATTCAATGGGCATACCATTTTTGGACCCGAAGTACCGGCATCTGGTCGATTTGCGATCTGGGACTCTGCGGGCTGGGATCGGTCGTGTATCCATTTGGGTGGGATGAGGCTGAGCGCTTGCCAACACAGCACTCACGGGAGACGGTTGTCCTATGTTGAAATAAGAATATCGAGTGAGCGTGTGACCTAGGACATGTCGGGATGTGTGATAATGAAGAAGGTGTCAGAGCGCAGGGGAACCCGCCCAAGGCAAGGCGACTAGGTGAGGGAAGACAGGAGGAAGGGCAGCGGGCGCCTAGCCATGAAATCCAGTTGGGCTATGTAATGTATAGCCCAGGACATGTCATTCCAAGATAAGATTGGGTTAAAATTAGGCCACGGAGGCTGGGAGAGGTGTGTATCAAATGGATGGTGGGGGGCTATGGGCGGGAATACCCATCCAGCCACAGCGGCCCGTTGAGACATACAGGCTGCTAGAAAAGCTTGAAGTGGGGGGCGGGGAATTTTAGCAGGCGGGTACAGTGATATCAAGATTGCCAACGCATATTTTCTGCTTGTCATCGGGTTTTTTCATGCTCTGGGTTTTTTATCTCAAGACGCTATTTCCCATCAAATGACCTACCGTGGTGGTCCATCTCAAATCCGCTGGCTAGGAAGTTGGTCTTACAGCAGCAAGCTTGTAAGTACTGCGTCACCAGCTGGCCGCGAGTCAAAGTACTCAGACTGTACAGTACATGCAGCAGTTAGGATATGCTGTGCCGCAGGAGCCTGATCTCCCTTGTAAGGGCAACTTGGTTGCCAGTAAAAAAGCTGAACAGGGAGCGATGCAACCTGCACCGCAATGCTAAGTACTGTACCGACCAACTATTTCAAGTAAAAAGCAGGTTGCCTCGTGATTCCTCTTGAGATGACCAACTGTCCCTCTCGAGACAAGGGAAACAATGGCAGAGCCAAGACGATGCAGCCTTTCTGTAAGGAACCTTACCACCAATGCGGGCAAACGTGAGCGACTGGACAACAGGAGATTATAATTATAATTTGCGGGGTGGAAAAAGCTACAGACGGGAGCGTAGCCCTGCAGATAAGTCTGGTGACAGGCCAGCGGCCAAACGATAAAGGGACAACACAAGAGACAGCTTTGGATGCTTGTTAAGGTGCTCGCATGCGATCCCGCAGAGCAGAGAGGCGAGATGCGAGAGCCAGTCAGTTCCGGAGGGCGCAGGAAGCTGTCGAGGCGATACGACGGCGATGAATCATCCCCAACCCAGAAGGTTGAACTAGCTGCAGACCAGACAGAGACGGGCGCAGACCACCCAACGACCCGAGCCTGGTGGCGAATGGAGCACGGCAATGATGATAATGATCATGATACGGAGTAGGCAACAGAGGTTTGTTTCATTCAACTACCCTGCCAGTGGATTTATTGGCAACTAACTAGTTAACTAATAGTTAACTACAAGTACCTTTGCCCACAGCACAAAGTACTGTCTACATTCAAAAAAACACCATCGATACCCAACTACCGGAATATTTATCATGACTTGGAATTAAACTACGACGTTTATTGTCGGGGAGGCACCAGGGAGACCAGGGAGGGGAAAAGAAAAGGCTTAACACCGTTTCAAATAGAAACGACTTGGAGATCTCCCGCCAGCCCGCTGGGAATCATTGATCAGCAAGGCGTGATTGTCTCAAAGCTATTGTTTTCACCTGGTAACTAACATCTATCTTGTAAGTGTGGAAAAGTCGTGAAGAGGCCGAACAGCAACAAATGACAGGCCAAAGAGCATACCTGTTTAACTACGTCAAGATTTCCTTAGTATTTTGAGCAATGCTAAAGCGTTCTTAAAGAGTCGCCATGGCGGACGACATATATCCCATTCCCTGTTTCGGTAAGCTGTCGGCCTATTCCGAGCAGGCTGCCAGGGTTGTTTTGTCCTCCTATCACATATCCACCAGTCCACCAGCGCTCCGCAAGGAATTGTTTCGAAATACATCACGCCGATGGATGTGGGTTAATACTATTGGTTCTCTGTGGTTCCAGTTACTAAATGTCAGCTAGATTTCAACGAGGCCGATCGTTGAACGAACGGTATGTCAAGTTTCGCCCGACAGCGCTCCAACGGGTGCTGGATAGGCTCTACGGCAAAACTAGTTATTGCTTTTATATTGCTAAGCTTGCAGAGGGGGGCTTCGACAAGGTGTTTCTTCCGCGAGCAAAAAGAATGGCCGTAAAACGATTGTGCCAATTCGCACTACTATTGCCAGACCTCCTCATTACACAACTGTCAGTGAGGTAGCGACAATGGACTTTTTGAGAACTGTCCTCAAACTGCCAGTACCGGCGGTCTTGGCGTATACGGTAGAGTATATTCTGATGGAGCGAGTGGAGGGCGAGAACCCTTCCTCACGGCGGCTATCTCTCACAACCAGTGAGTTAAAAAGGTCATCATGACATAAATCGCAGAGATGGAGAGGAAGATACTTGACTTTCGTTTTCCTGCGTACGGAAGTTTATATCACGAAAAGGATCTTACGGGAAGACCCAGATACCAATTGTAGAGGATTTCCGTTTCGGTCCTGTACGTGCTCGAGAGTATTGGCATGGCGAACGAAGCAAAGCAGAAATTGACCGCGGGCCCTGTAGGTTTCCGCCTCACTGCTTCCCGTTTGTTCTCTGTCATTTGAAACGAAACAACATCTAGGGCTGAGATAATTGCCATAGGGCTTTCACCTGTGGATTGTGTTACCTCCCCGACTCGCCGGGAGATGGCTGTCATTCGGCGTCACTTCAAACCCCAGCTTCGCCAGACATTTCTGCTACCAACTAACTATAACATTCACCCATCTGAGCAAACCTCGTTACTTTCATACTTCCCACATTTGGCGCCTCATTTAATCCCACCTGATTCTCGCAGCGTTCCGACGATAAGACACCCAGGTTTGAGCCCCAGCAACATTTTATTAGCACCCGGGCCAACCAAAATCATCAGTTTCCTTGATTGGCAAGATGCCGCAATATATCCCCGCGTTCTGCAAGTAGGTTATCCCGCAGTATGTGAGCATGGCTCATCACAGCGTCGAAGTCTGCAGATTCCATCTCTCTCCGACGATTTCGACGAGATGGAGATCAGCCAAACAGAGGCAATACAAAACCGCCTTTCGCTTAGAGGAGGCCAGCCTCTACTATACAGCCGCGACAGGCGTACGCAATGAGGAACACATGAACGTTTTGAAACTCCCTCATCTCGGGATGTGGCAGTATCTGTTCCACCAGACAGGGTATCCCTGGGATGCAGACGTAATTAACCTGCGTGCAGCATTAGTGGGCATCATGTCTCCATCTGTATGAAGCAGGATCTCATCGACAGTTTGCCCCTTTGTGTTCAGTGATGAAGACTGAGAGGCTGTCATGGTGGACTCGCGGGAATGGAACGAGTCTGAAGAGCAACTGTCATGTCACGAATTAGAGAACACCTCCATATCGATCCGGAAGGCGGGACAGAGCTGGATAACTTTGAGAGAGCAGTGGAGGGCAATCGCCAGTTTCATCTGAAAATGGTTCGGCAAACAGGGGCGGGCCAACGAGAGCTCTGTTGGCGTAATTGGCCGTACAAGGTTGAATGGGATAATCGCATGCCTCCCTCAGGAGAAAGCAAGCTTGCCTCGCGTATAAATTCTACTCCTTCATGTCTATAATCCGTTCATCTCCGGTTTGATAACTTGATAACTTCAATATCGAGCCATAGATAGTGGAGAGAATAAAATATAGAAGCTTCCAATAGCCACTAGATTCTCTTTCAAAATTCACAGCTCATGTGACAGCAGCGCCCCAGCCGTCGACAAAGGAATTTCTCCCTCACCTTTCCCTCGCCAATGTGCACAATCAGTCTCCAAGTCGACGGAACCCGATGGCCCGATGGAATCGACGGAGATTACCATAATAAAAATAAAAATAAAAATAAGCTAGCACATCAACGCATGTCTGAGTCATTCTTCCGATCAAGCGGTGTGAGAAATGAATTGTCTCCATGAATCACAATTGCTTGTCCTCCCTCACCCCAGCTGGATCATGTGGTTAACCATAAGCATCATGCTTCAACTTTCATAATCCTATTCTAGCCGGCGGGCGGATGGCGGGTTATTCACCATTGGCCTGGTAAAAGGGAAACAAATACGAGGGACCATGATAAAACTTCCTCTTCGTTGATGATCAAAGAGATGCTTTCTTGGGGTCCACCACCACCCCGCATCCATTAAGTAACAGTAGTACAATACAACATATCCAAATCGGACAAAAAGCCCTGGAGAAGTCGTGGGTATCTCGATTCCATCATGCGACTTAACCTGCAGTAGACGGGAAGCGAAGCATCAAGATGGAGAGTTTCTTCTTGTCAAGACGGAAATGTTTCATTTGGAAGTAGGACCCGCCAGCCTATGGGGGAGATACTAATATGTACCCAGAAGCTACCTCCGCAGGTGTGTAACTTTCTAAGAACGTATGCCCATGAGCTGAACAGTATGTACTGTACATGTTGATGAAGTCAGGAGCCTACTTTAGATTGTATTGCCTGTGTATTAAACATGTAATGAATAAACGGATCGACCTGATCAAATACATGTATCTACAAAAATCAGAGTAGGCCCTTATCTCCGTTTCCACCCATCATATAACCCTGTTTCGGTCGGCTGGGAGAGGGGGAGGAGGAGGAGCAGCTTGAACTCAATAACTTTCAAAATGTCTCTTAGAGAAAATCCTCACAAAACAATGGGTTATATAAACAAGGTATATAGGTATGTACAGATAGTTAGTTGCCGAATCTCCCATCCTGAATTCAAAGACACGTATAAAATCTAGATCCAGATCCCCAAGGTCTCACAGGGTTTCCATCCCTGTACTTGAACAGGAATGCATTGCATTGCTGAGGTGTCAATCTGTTGTTGTTGTTGTTGTTGTTGTTGTTGTTGCTACCCAGTCGTCAGTTCGATATCAAACCCTAGCTGTCCATCCGGGTAAGCTAGAAAATGACAAGATGTTGAAGTTGTAGATTTGAATTGGCAAAGCGGAAATTCGGAGTCTGTCCATAACAATTACTCCTTTGTGACGTAGCGTACCGGAGACTTAGATGTGTACAGTACATTAACTACAGAAAAGGAGTCTAGCTGGCAGAAGGGCACACGAAATTGTTGGTAGAAAAGAGGTAATGTCAAGAGTAGCAGTGCAAGAGAAAATCAAGGGAATTACAACACATTCAGCAGATATCTCTACACGTGCAGACAGGTTTTTCCTTGATACATCGATTTCCTAGGAACATGGAAAATATGTTTATAATAAATATTGTACAGTAAGTTTAGAGAATAAGTTACCGCCGGGATTTCGGCGATAAAAACTTAAACTTGAATCTCTTTGGAGGGGGATAAAACACTGACATCAATTTTTGTCCCTCTGGAGGGTCCTGGATGATTTAATGTCCAGATGCACCATTTTTATTCTTGCTCCAGGCCCTTGACGCAAAGTTCAGGGGATCTTAGAAGGTTTACCGTTTCCCGTCCAGGTGTCAATGGTGAAGAATGACGTAGCTACAAGTGGTAACTACTCCGCAGTTAAACTTAGCTTATCTTATCGCGCCAACAATGGCGGGGCTGTGGGGGAACTTTCACCCCAAGCACTGTCCCATGCAATGTTGATATCGTGTTTACGCTGTGGACGGCAACAAAAAGGGGAACCCAAATCTCGTCGATTGCCCAGAATTTTCAAATTCGAACAACCCAATCGAAAATCATCGGCCCGTACGAACCTATCTAGTATTGCGCAAACAGGAATCTCAAGTCCAAATTTCTCCCACATTGCGAAGCGGAAATCTGGGAATGCGGGATGTGGACGAGATGGTGTTGTTAGAATGGGGAGGGATTAGGTATACTTACACCTATAGCAATGTGGCCGAATCGCATCAACCCTACGAGAGCCCAAAAAAAAAAAAAAAAAAAAAAAGCAGTCATATTTACGAACGACCAGGCTCCCACATGACGTTTCGAGTCCCTTTGGAAGGCCTAGATTATCTTCTTTCATGATCGCATTGCGCACCGTGGCCTTGGCTTTGCTATTCCTCTTCGCCCCGTTCTGCTAGATATCAGAATACTCTGTATTAAAAAAAAAAAAAAAAAAAAAAAAAAAAAAAAAAGTCCGTGGAGAAACGACGCAGCAAAAATATCTGCATCGAAAATCTTCTGTGGGCTAGTTCTTGTCTTTTAATCTTGTTTTCCCGCCTCCATTTCTTCTTCTGTCAAATATCCACCTTTTACATCTGGAAAAGCAGGATTGCGCGCCTCTATCTATAGGGCTAGACGAAGATCCGTCGGACGCCATGAGCGATGGAGGCGTTTTGAGTGGCTTTGTGACTTCCTGCACTCCTTTCCATTACTTCCGAAGGGAGAAATGGAATGATCTGGGCGGGTGCTTGTCCTAGCATGGGACATAAATTATATCTATATTTATATGTATATATGTATGTAGGCAGGGACTCGAAGAAGCTTTGACTCCAGTCATTAAGCACATCTCCCAGAATATCATACCTTTCTCAGGCTGACTACTAGTTAACAACAGTGATATAAGGAGAACATCTAATTGGCAGAGCAAAAACCAGGAATTGAGGAAAGAAAATAAAGAAGAAGAAAAAGAGAGAAAATGGATTGCCGCTAGCAGTTGATCACAATAGCTCGGGACTCCGTACGGAGAAGGCTGGCAAACGTTGCCAGCAGCTAAACTGGTTTTTGGTTATTGATCCCCCTTGGTGACGGCTAGTGACGGGGATGAGGCCCGCCAACTAAGCACTCAAGATACTGTGTGATAGCTGAGAAGCCAGTCAAGCCGTCAATTTATCACTGTGTGTTTTTACCTGTAAGGTGGACAAGCTTCTGGTAGAAGAAGCGAGGGATACAGGTATTTGTACAGCGTAAGCCGCATCTAGAGGGCTCAAGTCTAGATTTCTAAACATACTGCGGGGTATGTCTGGCTGAGTAGTTTGTAATTACAACGCAGTAGTACTCCGTAGCTATCATAATGTGGTTGTGAGCAGCTCAATTAGCTGCGCGCACAGCAGGCATGTTCCTTGCAGCAACAGTGGCACTTGGATTCTAGACAGCCCGAGAGTATCAGGGAAAACCTCAGCTTTAAATTGAAATTACAATACAGAGTACATCGTTACACCGGCGAGATGACAGCTACGAGGTACTGTACAATACATTGAGCACAAACCTGCTTATTAGATAGTCGAACTGTACTTCTTCTAGCATAGATAGTGAACACAAAATGTTATTACAAAGAAGAGAAGCGAACATGCTGGGAAAAAAAAAAATTAAGTAAATAAATAAAAATGTGAACACGTTGATCTGTGTAATGTTCCACGGGTGTTACATCCCCTCTGGCTTCTCCGTATATTAACTATCCACTCGAGACAAGTTTGTGCAATTTTTTAATATAGTTACTTGGTTGGAGATTCAGTTACTTATAAGAGCACGTGAGTAATACATGTACTTTGTAATTTAGAGATTAGAATAGAAGATGGAGAAAGAAGATGAAGATGGATATGAAAACATCGGCCACGTATTTGAGAGTATATACAAAATTTCGAGTATGGGTAAACAAGAATGAAATGTATAATAGTAATTCAAGTTACAGTAAATGATCACCTGGAAAATAAAATGAAATACCACGTCCTGATTCAGAGGTATCTAGTACTTCGGTAAACAATAAGTGATGTATGGAGGGGGGGCGAGGAAAATCCAGGGAATGAGACACATTAGTGGAATATATTGAACAGGATTTTTCGGACGATAGAAATAATAATTACTATAATAATGATAATAGGAATAGTAATAATACTGGTAGTGATGAACAACCTGCAGCTCCATTCTGCGGAGCAGGCAATTGATAGCGCCACACGCTTAAGCTTCATAAAAAGGAATGATAGGGTGGACCAGCTTTAACCCCGGTACTGCATGCAAGCTCCGTTCGAGGAACGGCTTGGAAAATCTGGGGAAATGTAGCACAAACCAGACACAAACCCGAGAAAGTAATTATATACTTTTGGCCCCGTACAGTAGATATACTACAAAAGGAGCAAAACAACAGCATTAAAAGCGAGCAGGAGTTAAAAGAGAAGATCAAATTGTCTCTTACAAGGAGCGCAACGCGAACATGAGGATTTTTTTTTTTTTTTTTTTTTTTTTTTTTTTTTTTTGAATGGGGCAAAATCTCACTATTGATGGTTCCTGGGAAATCTTGATTTTTATGATCATTGATCGCCCTCAGACGACGGCTTTCCCCACACTCATCCAGAGGACGAGGCCGGCCTGGGCCAAGGGATCGAGAATAGCCTTCTGTCATTAGGTTCATGAAAACTTGCGTCAGTCTGATTGGGGATTTTAAGGATATCCCAACACTTGAACAATCCAGCTCGCCGAGTTTGAACCTTGGTCAACGAGCATCTCGATAAACACGAATCCTAACACTTAATCCGAGATTCCAACTATCATGGTGAAACAATGCCAAAGAGAGTCCGGAGTAGGGGGACACCAGAGAATGCTCGGGGTATGAGATCGCTGGAAAATGGCGGGGCTGGACTTGGCTAGGCCATACCTGACACCAGCGAGACAATCAAGAATCTAGGCCAGCAAGCCCGCACTGATTCCAATTCCGCTCACTCCATGCTTCTCATGAGACATCTTGGACCTGTACTCTTGATACTGTACGGAGGACATGTACAGTTCTTGAGTGACTTGGTGACTTGTGGCAAAGCATCAGGAAAACCAAGTCTTGATATCAACAACATATTCCCGCGCCTCTTCCTCCCTCCTCCTCCAGAATGTATGACGGTTAATATGTCTCTTTACGCAGGTACCGGGTACGCACACACCCACCCACTAGCACATTGTCGTACGGTGCCTGAGGAAAATACTCGTCTCAGACCGAGCCCCCTCCATCTCCATCACAAAATCATGTTCTGGGGATGGAAGTGGGTGTACGAAAACGTAAATGTGTCACTATGAGTGATAAAAATGCTTGTACAGTACATACATACAATACATACGTATCTGCCGCTTTCGGACGCTGTGCAAAGACGTTTTGTGTTTTTTTTTTTTTTTTTTTTTTTTTTTTTTTTTCCTGTTCCCCGCAACATTGCCCGCAAACGCGCAACATACTATTCCTGGTAGGGAGCCCTCAGGTACGAGATACGTAGTCGTGTCAGTGTAGCCCAGCGTACTATATTGTTTAGGGATTTCCTATGGCAAAAAAGGGGCGGCGCAAAAACTAACACATAAACGGAAAACAGAATTCGAAAATTTGATTCAGGGGTGAGCCAGTTTATGCGTTTGTCAATTGCTCAATACTCGAAATTATGGCAGTTAGTTCCTTTTAACCCAAAAGACGGACTATCAAACAAACGAATAACACCAAACCATGTATTTTTACCATTGAAGCTACGAGAAAAATTTCTTTTGCTCCGCACTGATGAAAGAAAGGAGTTTACATAAATCTCATGACCTTCAAAGCGACCAGATTTGCCTGCGAAGGCGAGCCAAACAAATCTCCAGAAAATATGCAATGAACAATGAAACTGGCCAGTCAATCCGCAGAAAAAGTTAATGCATACAAGGCCACATCTGCATTTCTTCATAGTAGAGATCAGCGATATTCCGCCAATTAAAAATAAATAATCAAAAATAAAGTCCCTTAAATAACCATAAAAAATAACGGCTCACTAGCCGCCGCCGTCGCCACCACCGCCCCGCAAAAGAAAGAAACGAAAAGAAAAAGTGAACATGACGAAATCTAACTTCGCGCTGATGATAAGTGGGTTTCTTTGTAGTTCAAAGCTTGATTCTTTGACTTTCGCTCTTCCGTTAACGGCGTCAATTTGGGTTCGAGTTTCTGTTGGCGGTAAGTCCCACCCCTCATGTATATATCAACCACAGCAGAATGTCTATCTCAATGCGCTCAGTGGAAACACTTTTCCACAAGCTGCATTTGAAAGCGAACCAGTTAGTTGGAACCACTGCGGCGAAAGCAGGAATACCTAGTACATATACACCTTCCAGCAGCTGATGACTATCAAACCAACCTCAGTACCAGTTGGTTAGTTTAAAAAAACGGTTGGAGCAGGCCAATTAATTTCCTATGTTATTAAGAGAACCAACTTAGAGCAACAATGCAAAATCCCGATCCCACAACACTGGAGCCCCTGTGGCGAAATAGCACGACGGCGAGCGGGACGGGGTTCCGCACAGGAGATCTGGTGATGAGTTGTATGTATCTGCACTTGAAGCAAGCTTGCTGGAGAGGTGGGGGGTTTGGACATTTTCATGCCAGAGCACACGAATTGGGCGAAAATGATGAAAACACTAAGATATTGATATCCCACCCCATCAGCTAGCCCCGATGAGCGAATGCCGACACATTAATACATTTATCAGTTACGGAATACACCGAGTTGCCGATTGCATGCAGTTGGGACACTCCTCGTAATTGCTAGTATGAACTATGGGCCTTGTGGTGCACAACCCCCACGTTCACATCCAGATGAAGGGTAGATTATGTTGGATGATACACGGTAATAGTGATAATGATGATAGCCCACTAAAGACAGCAGAGCATCTCTACAGCGCACGTAACCGACAATTAACAAAGTTGACTGGCGCGGACTGTTGGTGCTGCGATAGCGACACACGTTGCGGTGCCAATGCGTTGGAATGGACGGTTTCGGGCAAGGAGTCCGTATATGGGGTCGGCTTAGGTATGGGTTTTGAAAGCATCTGCTGGCGAAGAAATGGATATTGGAGGGCCTTCCGATTTTTGCCCAACTCTCTCCTGCGAAAATAGAACGAGTTGATGATGTGATTACTATTGTTGTTATTGTTATTTAGATGGCGCAGCGCGGGGTGCATGCCATGTAACCGGGCCGTCTAAGTTAACCCCCAAGAAAATGGTTTCCTGTCAGAATCAAGATGACAGACTGGTTGAAAAATATCTGAACGAAACATTCATCGAGGCCGGAGGCGGCCGACCGCAAAACATCAGGGAGATACAAAAACGAAGGGCAACGTGCCACAGCATACAAAATATGCACCTGGAAGCCTTCAGCTCCGTTCGTATCACCCTCCCCCCTAAAAATGACATACCCTGGTCCTATTTAACTAATGAGGCCAACTTGAATCATGAAAATAAATACCCCCAAAGGCACAACCTGGGTACCCGCATAGCCACATATAACCAACCACCCATACGCATAGCAGAGAATGAAACCTGTAGGAAAGAAAGGAGCAAAATGAAATCTAACAATAACTGCATTTAGACATGGCGTGATTGGAACCATGCCATATGCGCATACAAGTCTCGGAACCAGTACAAGAGATACAAACATAGCCTACATTACATAGGGTAGTATGTATGTTTGTGCCGTCCCGAAGACCCTGCATTCCATGCGAGTCTGAATAATGAAATGCATCGGCGTCTGCTCTCTGGGTTACAGGCATACATATGCATACAGCCTCTGTCCCCGGATTTTCATCAACTTGTTACTCCACCCTCTTTCATCGAATGGGCTCTTCCATCCCCACTGGCCGCAATGTTCCTACCGACGCGGCACTGCGCGTACGTTTCAATACCAGTCCTGAAGTCTAGTTAATACCTGATTGATTCCTGTCGTCTGGTATGCATGCACGTAGGCGCGAGGAAGGAAACAAACAATGGGAAGAAACAGGATAAAGGAGGGTTGGTTAATCAACCCTACCTTTGGTTCTTCCTAACATATACACACAGGTTATGCTGATATCCTGCTGTGCGGAGTAAGGTGGTGGAGGCGGGTCGAGAGAATCCTGGGTTTATATAAGGAGTTTTGGTGTACGTGCTGCATCTGCATTCTGCGCGCCGCGAGAGCGAGCGGCGGGTTGATTCAGATATGCGGAGTTTTCACCCAATTATCGTTGGAAGAGGATGAAGATATTACGAGGAGGGCGGAAGAAGTATTAGAGGAGGAGAAGGTGAGGGTTGGAAGAAAGAACAAAGGAAGATAAAATGAGCAAGCTTTCTCATTTTAATTAACCCCTTCGAAGGTCCTGTAAACATAATGATGGAAAATAAAACGTGAAAAAAAAAGAAGAAGAAAGTAGTCTGACTTCCTTCTAGAAAGGCGATCCGCCATATGACAGAAGTCGATATCAAAGAATCCATATGAACAACTGTCCCTCCCAAAACTGCAGGTTGGAAACAAGGGAGCGGCTCGATTTCGGTAACCTCGCAGACCCTGCATGCCGTGTAAGTGCTGTCGGTTTGGTGCTTGACAATGGATAGAAAAAAATATGCAAGGTAGATCACTGCTTCGCATCGCGTTGCATCATGTCATAAACATCATACCGGACAGATGATAATCTCTTTATTTCATTGTCTCCTTTCCTTTCTGTTCTTCAATCGTTCATTCATTCATCCATTCATTCCTTCATTCCTTTGTTTTTGTTTCCTTACCTTCAACCTCCTTACACCCTTATCTCCAACCAACCCAACCACCCAAATGATTGAGGCTTGGTGGCAAAGCAAGGAACCAGAGGACCTATTAACTCACAAACCATCCAACAAACGCAACCTGAAAAACCAAACACTCGCATGTGACATGGAAGAAAGTAAGAAAATCGAAAAGAACAGAAAGAAAAGGAATCCAGAGCCTGGTGGTGGCAAATGCTCGCTGGATTCCTGAGCAGAACCAACAACCCAGCCACATACCTGGACGAACGGGTAGAAAGCGGACGTGAACAATTTCATGATACAAGGGCGATAAACAGCCATCCCCTTCATCATTCGTAAGAGAAAGAAGGTGTTGAAGAAACAAGAGGCAGAAATAAACCCTATTCTTCCGTCCTGGGATGTCAGATCAAGCTTAAGTGTCTGTCAGGACGTTAAAAATTCACACCATCCTCAACCCGCCCGCCGGAGCCTCGGTTGATCCCGCCACCGTCAATCGTAGTCAATCATCACGCTCAGGTCCATGTTGTCCAAGACCATGTCCTGTACATAATACAGAAATTTGTAACCCCAACGACGACGAGAAGACCGTGCCAAGATACCCCCATGGCATGTGGCATACATGCCGCATCGCGGAGCATTATTCACAACAAGCAGATGACAGGGCACGGTGAGGAAATGAGATGCCAACTCATCGCTTCCAGATCATCCATCCATACGGCGGGGCGGTTTGATCACTCAGATCACGGCGCAAGAAGCAAAGCGGTCAAGCCCTGCGGCTGCGGGGCAGCCAGCGAGCCAGAGCCAGCGCCAGCGCCAGCGACCAGGACCAGGACCAGGACCAGGCCTTCCGACTCTTTTGTTTTTGTGGATTGTCGTTCTTCCTCAAACTCCCGCGTAGCATGATATGATATTGAAAACCCTCTCCCCCCCCCGTCCGTATCTGCGCTCATCGAGGTCAGCATACACAACCACCTGAGCGATGCGTTGGCGCTTCTCTTCTTCTCCCTTCCAGATTTTCCCATGGGGCGGCATTGTTCTTGAGTCCTCCGGCTCAATATGTTTTTCACTTATTTCCCCAGCTCGTGACGGACAAGGGTGTGGTGGGGTAATTCTGTCGTTGGCTACGTGTTGGAATATCTTTCAGCTACGCCACTCTCGTCAGGCCAATTTACAGAATTGACATCGTGGACAAAAATGACATAAAAATGTGAAGTAAAAACTATTATCATTATTGTTATTATTGTTATTATTAGTGTTGTATTCCACTTTACCCTTTTTTAGTACAGCAGACGCGAAACATACATAACATTGAACGCTGGAAGCACGTAATAGTAAAGTTAAAGCATGTATGGTGGTAATGGTTATGGTATATTTAATATGCAACCGGCAAGATAAGATACATACATGAAAGCGAGACATGAAAACAAAAGCGGGAAAGCGGAAGAAGTAAAAAAACACGCAATACACACAAAAACACGAACAGGGCTATGACCACCGTTGATCTTGCGACTGTTCTTGCTCCGGCTGAGGGGGAAAAAAAAGAAAGGATCCTTGGGGGTGGGGGTATCTAAAAGGTCGCTGGTCTGATAACAATACTATATATGATGCTGGGAGGAAGACAGCAAGATGCTTGAGGTAAAATAAGGACGTTGGATGAATGGATGAGCGATGGGAAACATGAAAATGAAAAAGCAAAAACATAGACACCTTCCCAGGCCAGAATTATGCACGCAGTTAATGGCAACTTTGAAAAAAAAAAAAAAAAAAAAAAAAAAAAAAAAAAAAAAAAAACATCCGTTAAAGACAACAAAACAAATAATAGACAATTAAAAATTAAAACAATCACCAGCCCTTGACGTGATATTCCCATGGGCCGTAATCGAAATAGTGATTCCACGAATTGTTCTTGGAGGTCTCCTTATCCCGTGCGGCTGAGTTAGGCGCAGCGGCGACATTTTGCGACTGTGTTTGCGTCTGCTTCAGGCCATTCAGTTTCATATTTGTGGTGTTTGGATACTCCTGCAGATTCGCCATGTCGTGTGCTGTATGCCGTCGCTTGAAGCCCGCGGTGACCGTGGTGGACTTCTGTTGCCGCTCCCAGAGTAGATGTCGTCGTAGTGACTCCGTCAACTCGGTGGCGAGCATGTTTCTTCGGGTTGTTCGGGGCGAGTGGGCTGTTTGGTGTTGGTAGGCGGGCATTGACTTGACGATTATGGGTTTTGAGCGGGGGACGTCGGGGCCTTTCATGGTGAGGGTGTTCTCGTCACTGTCTGGGGAAGCGGCGGCGGAATTTCGGGTGGGAGAAGAGAGGCGCGACTGTTGGAGAGCTGGTGTCGATCGGGAGCCTGTAGGAGCTTCATTCATCCGTTGCGGTTGATGGATCATCATTGTTAGCAGCGAGGGGCGCGAGACGAGGTTCGGTCGCGAGTCGACGCGCTGGAATAATTCCTTTTCATCAACACTCGATCGACCACTTTCGGGAATCGAGTCTTCCCATTCTGAAGAATCATCGTCATCCTCGATGGCGCTCTCTGAAATCTCTTCATCGTCATCGGTCTCGATCGCGTCCTCATCCTCCGAGGCTTCAGTAATTGGTCGGATGGGTGATCTAGAACTCATCGAATTTTTCAATACAGCAATCTTTTGCATTGTGTCAGCAACTTGATGTAGACCATCTGATAGCGAGCTGCGTTGTTGCTGTTGTTGTTGCTGTTGCTGCTGTTGGAGTGGTTGTTGGGGTTTCGTCGTCATGCGATCCTCAAACGAGCTCTCGTCGTCACCTGATGAGCCACCCAGGGTAAACATCCCACCCTTCTTCTGGAGCGGTGAGCCTTTTTGTGTCACAGCTGTCTTTGAAGGAGAGGAACTTGTTGATATTTGTGGGTGTGATCGGTATGATGAGGAAATTTGTGAAGGGCAAAATCCGCGGACAACGCTGGATGACTCTAAGAGTCCTGAGGACGAGACACTGGTGTCAGAGTCTGCTTGAGGAGCATGATCACTTTCTAAGGCTTCGAGGGCAGCTGTAGAACATGAATCTGACGATTGATGAGGGCGGACTTGGTGTGATTCTAATAAATCAGGGGTGGGAGTGGGTGAGGAGGCACGGGGTGTAATGTCAACCGTGGCGGTAGTGGTAGTTGTAAGTGACGTTGAGGGCTGAGTTGGAAGAGTAGGTAATAACAATGGTTCCAAATATTTCTTCTCCTTGATATTGTAAACCATTCTTTCCAATCCTAACGATGTGATGTGCTTTTCCTTCCCTCTGCTTATACTCAATGGTGGTTCCTCTTCGAGGATGGTTGGCTTAACGTCCAGCGCCCGGGGTGCGTTGATGTGGCTCTCAATTCGATCCGCCTCATCTGAAGCGGCAGATTCTACTTCTCTTGCTCTCGAAGACAGCTCCGGAATCTCCCTAGACTCACATGCCCTCAGGTCAGCACCTCTAGAGGTGTAATTGCTGCAAGGGCGGCTCAACACAGAACGTG